TACCCCGCAGGCGTGAGGGGTCCGTGTGGGCCGCCCGGTAAGACGGAGCAAGGGCACCGCCTGCGGCGGAGCAGCCGCCGAACTAGGGGTTTGCTCAGGCCCTTTATGCCGGTCCTGCTCGGGTAAGGTCAGGAGAGACAAGTAAATAATACATCTGGACCGAGAGAGGGTAAAGTCCTCTAAGCAAGCTTGAATTTTAATCCAAATGTGGAAGCAGCCGTGTATTAACACGCAGGCTACTTCAGCCGTTTGCGAAGGGCCCGGAGGCAGCGGGCGCGTTGTGAGCACGGAGGGCGTCTCTCCCTCGCGACTGCGGCGGCCTCTTCCACTTGTGTTGAACTGCGCCCACTCAGTTTCCACCAAAACTTAGGGGTTCCTTTGCCCATCCCAGAGGCAAGCTGCAGTAAATCAGTCTACAATACCAAATACAAATCGATCGACGAGAAACCTGACCTTCCCCTCCCTGGGGACTGTTGTATTTGTCACCTGAAATGTTCGTACTTCCTGCTATATTCTTGATGTGACAGAAAGTATAAGGGAACGAGGCGCTGACAGAAGCAAAATCTCCGGAATTTAGAGAAGAATTGAGCACTGCTTTCTCAAAACACAGCAGCAGAATGAGGGGCAGAACCCAGATCAAAAAGGCTGTGGCTGCCAGAGGGAAACCTTAGGGCACTGTGTCCCTTTCCAGATGTGATTCTCATGCAGCTGGCTCCGGTGCACTGACTGATGGGAACTAGGAAATCAGCAACCCTTAGATTCACATCTCTGTCATTTCTTGCAACATCTCGATTCAGCATCTTAAACAAGAGCCACAAAACCGATTAAACATTGGGTTTGATATAAAAATATATCTTTATGATAATCTTAATTTTCATTGTATGTTTTCATATGGGCAGGTCTGGCTGCCACTGTCACCTGTGAAGTCACTTTTCAGTTCATTTCACAGACACTTAGAGATGACCGGTATAAATAATTAGACTTATATTACTTGACATCTTTCTCTGGTCTTTGTGGCATCCCTGGAGAGTGGGAGTTGTCGTAACCCTTAAAAAGATTGCTGCTGCTGTGCAGTGCGTTAGTGGCGGAGTGCAGGGGGTTTCAGCTGTTCCTTACGGCTTGGCAGTTGCTGCTCTGAGCCCTGTCCCTCTGGTCATGTCTTCCCGCTGCCCTGGCTTGATTCCCTCATTTCTGGACTATGTTATAACGTATCCAGCCCTGGAAACAAGTACCAAAATGTGGCCATGTCACGATCCACATGCTATGGCTGATGGTTCTGGGGGATTCTAGCACTGCTAGGAGTTTTACATCTTTCATTACCACACATAAATAT